CTATTTAAGGGACTTCATTCAATGATTTATCCGCTAAGGCAATGCTTAAAAAAGATAACTCCCAGACGATTCCCAACTCGAACCATTATACCCGTATTTCTTTGTCTCGTGTATGTTTCTCTATTGTCGCCAACAATGATAACGTCATCGTTCTGCATCTCTGGTAAGGTTGGTCGTAAATTACAACGGCGGCGTCTCGGAGACCGAGAATAATTTAAATTATTTAAATATAGTATTTACCCGACCGGAGAGGGAAAACGACATATATCGGTTTAGGTAAACGATAATGGAAAAAATGACTAAAAATGCCTTTGGAATAATAAGGCTTATAACAGATCGGTAAAAACCGTTGGCTTGACCATATTTTGTTTCTATTACAAACATAGTTACATAATAGTTGTTTTTTAAACACACGTTTTAAAATTATTTAGGCGGTAGATGGGTTACTCGTGGGTTTGCCAATTGTATACGACGGTATAGTTCTTGTTATACTGGTACACCGGTAGCCACTCTCCCACACCGGCAAACCATTTGAATTCAGTCATTATGTGACTTTGTACTTAACAGGGTAAATATAATAAAAAATAAATTTTACAAATTTGGCATTTGCTCGACAAAGGTACTAAAAAAAAGTTACCAGACGACGAGACGAGCAAAAACGTTTGACGAATGTACGGGGGTACGTCCACGGATGTCCTCCACTGACTAAACACACATGTTAAAAATAAGTAAGACACAATTTACAATTTATCTGTGCACAAGGTAAAGATGCGACATACACCTACCATGCACCTGTGGTAGGTCCAACCTCCTCACCACAGGGCTCCTGTTTCCAGGCGTTATATCCACGGTTTCTGTGTTTTTGCCAATTTCGTTAGGGAGTTCAGGGAGGAGTTTTTGCTGGCAAACCCCCCGAGCAGTCCAATCCCCCCGGCGCACAGTGTTTTCAATTGCTATTTTAGCTGGTCAAAATTCGTTAATGATGTAAAATTGTACTAATATGAATAAAAATAAGCCAACATACTAATTTTATTAACAAAATTACAGTTAATTATTAATTAACTGTAAATAAATATTGTACAAACTAGAGAACGTTAATGTAAATAAATTATATAAACATAATACATAGAATGCAATATATTTCTGTGAGTGTTATAATAATTTGAACTAAATATTATTATTATTATTATATTCAATAAAAAAAAAAGAAACATCGAAGAAAAAAAAGCGAGTTGTTAAAATGTAGTTAAAATGAGTTTATTAAATTTAAAGTGTTCTGCAATTAAGAGTTTAATTGCAAATTGTAATTAAAGATTAGCAAAAAAGCGGCGAGATGCGGCATTTCTAATTTAGTCGATTTTATAGAGGAGAAAATTTAGAACATGACCATATTAAGTAACAACCTCTAATAATCCCTAATTTTTTTTTGCCATGCTATTTGATTTAAGAAACATAGGTTTTAATACTGCGTTTTACATAATATAAATAATTACCCTTTCATAAATAATACTAATATCTGCACCGCGTCGCTCAAAATCGTAATTTTAGTCAATACTTACCAATTATATTGATCTCCATTTTTTAAAAAATAAAAAATAAATTCTAGTACGGTCAATACAAGTAATAATCTCACAACGTCCAATGAGTATTTCCAAAGAAGAAATGAACGATTTCTACATTTTTGTGACATAGTTATGCAGTATACGTGTAGTATAAAAGTCGATAAAACGTTAGCGAGTGGTAACTTAGCTTTCTAAAACTTATGAACTGTACGATACTTATACTTAAAAATAATATCAGATTATAGTAAAATTCTATTTTTGGCCGGCTACGATAAGATTGAAAACACTGCGCGGCAGCCGCGGCGGATCCCGCCGTTGCCCAACTAACACGTTTCTTGGGTTTCTCGCCCTCACTTTTAGCTCTGGAACTCCTCTCCCACCTTTCCCCCCAGAACAACTTTTGTTCCGGGATGTGGCGAGGGAAGGGTTTCGGCCTGGCCTGGCTGTAGAGGCCCGGTTAGCGCCCAAGGAGTTTTTTGCGAAAGTCTCCTCTGTCGTGTCCAAAAACGACGGAAAAGACGAGGTCGACCATGTAGTGTTGAGAGTCGAGTCCAAGAGACCCTTTCTCGAGCTCTTCGGTGTACTCGACGCGCGAGCGTGGTTTGAGCTGGAAGGCCGCGCCTATGTCTCTGCACAAAAATTGTTCACTAAGATTGCTACCTACTACTATTTGAGTTGACCACGGGCGTGCACACAGCTCGACTACCTGCCAGACAACAAATAAGGGGATGGAGCACTGACAAGGGTATCAACTTGGAGGCCTTCCAAACCGGTCATAGTCTGGCGAAATGGGGTAGGGCGGTAGAAGAGCCCCCAGAAGATCCGGCGGAGTGCGCAGAGTGGTGGGCGGTGGAGTTCGAGAGGAGGGCCACAATCGCTTGCGACTCGGCCCTCCCAACCAGAAGGGGCCCCAGAGGAAACAAACCACCCGCTCACTGGTGGACGGAGGAGATTGCCGGCCTTCGGGCGGAGTGTACAAAGGCCACCCAGTCCAACATGTTGGGTGATGCCATGTTGGACAGTGCTCGCCACACGCTGGTAGAGTGTCCGGCCTGGGAGTCCCACAGGCGGGACCTGTGCGGTGTAATCGATGAAGTCGTCTTGGGGAGGCTGGTCGACTGCATGACGTCGAGTCCAGACGCCTGGAACGCTGTTGCCCACTTTGCGGAGTCCGTTTTGAAAGATAAGGAGGATGCAGAGAGGGCTAGGCAGCGTCCAACCTGAGCGTCCTGGTCGTCAAGGGTGGCGGGTGCGCGCGTCACCAGTCCGAGAAGTATCGGCAGTGTAATTATTGTAAATAACTGTATAAACTTTGTAAATTGTATAGTAATTAAGTAGATTATAAGATAAATTGTACTTAAATTAATTTGAAGTGGCCCAATGTGAATATTGTTATTGGGCCCCCATCCCAAGGTTGATGTGTTAGTTTAAGTTTTGTAATTGTTGTTATATTTATTGTTGGCTATTGTACAATAAATGGCATCGGGAAACCGGGGAAAGTAATTCCTCACCAGGCGCGTTCCCCCCCCCGGTCTTCTTTGGGTGCATGTGAGGGAAAAAAAAAAAAAAAAGATATCCCAGTTTGCGGTAAGAACTAGTTAGCGGTGACTACTAAGTATATAATATTGGAAACAAATAGGGTAAAAAAAAAAACACTTTTAACGCAAAACCACATACGTACTAGATGAAAACAAACAGTTTAGTGTGAGTATAGAGTAACTGAAAAACTAACATAACTAATATTCTAACACGAACTGAGGGTGTCTAAAACAAGCACCCCGTTTTTGGATAACGACCACGGGTATAACCGTAGTAGAATACCGTGCTAATGACTAACGTTAGCCACGTGTTGTGCCTTAATTCTACATTTCAAGAACAAAAAAGTTTAACAACGTTGGTTTATACCGAACTCGTTAAAAGTTGTAGCCATTTGACGTGGTAGGTTAGTACCCAGTTAAAAATAAATGGTATAGTTAATCTCATTATGCAAACTGTTTAATATGCTTGGTTGGTTTAATGGTTAAAATAGAATTTAGACAAAGTAAAAAATAAAAATCATACGGTTTGAAATTGTGAAATAAAAAAAAACTGTAAATTTATCACCGCCATTTACTGACTTATCGTTTGACATTATACTTATGCCGGGTTGTTACAAATATTTACACAGAGGTAAACTCTCTAATTTTGTATGATACAAACTGGTTTCGTTTGGTACTTAAGAGGGAGGTAAAAGTTGAAGAAATCACCATACTTGTTTTTTTGTTTCAACTTAAACTAGCTATAATTTTAAAAAAATAGGTCGGATCGATTTGAAATTTATAAGAAATATTTATTTAACATTCCACTACACGCAAATAGTGTCAAATTTAAATTATGCTCATCTCCCACCCTACCCTAACACTGTACTGCCTTTTTTATATAACAGTTTTCGGCATAGTTGTTATCAATCTGTGGAATTGATTTTAAAATGAACTCACAACAACATATTGTGTTTCGTTATTTGTTTGTTATTGTTGAGATTTCATACTGCTATTACATGTGTTTTAACACTAGTGTAAATAATATTTTACTATTTGTGCTAAGAAACCAATGTACAATAACATGTTTTTCGACGATCAAAATTGGTTTTTTTATCCGTTAACATTATAAATGGATTAATCCTATTATTAATATTTTATTAGTACCTAAGTTTTAACACTTAACCCAAAATAATAATGCTGGGTTCCAAATTATTACTAATAAATTTTTTTTTTTTTGGTGTATTTCGTCCCAAAATTACTTTAAAAAACCTATAACGACTGCATACAAACTTCCAGTGTTTGGAAAGTTACTTTTTTAAACGGAACTCGTTCCGTTCCCCGTTCATTTCCTAAAATAATAACTCGTTCCAGATCCTCGTTCTTATACAAAGAAGGAACTCGTTCCAGATCCAATTCCTCTACAAAAAGAACTCGTTCCACCTTTCGTCCCTTTTTTCTAACTAAGTTATTTAAGAAATTATCATATTATTATTTTGAATTTGATTATAAGGTTAAAATTATCTTGTGATTTCAAGATATTGTGGCGGCGCACCACCACATAATTTCTCCCCGGTGGCGGCAGGCCCCGTGAAGACGGTTGGTCACACCGCTCAAGCGCCCACTACCATCGACAGCGTGCAACGGGACCGTCCTCCGGCCATCGACCTCTTCTCTCAACGACGCCACCGAGTATAGACGTCCGAGAACTTTCTGCGCTTTTCTGCTTACTACATTTTTTTGTTAATCAAAATAAATCTTTTTGTTATTATCTACTCTTTTTATATTAATTGAGCTCATTTATTCGCGTTAGCGCTCACGCGTCATCGTGACCGCTACATTGGTGACCTCGAGTTTAGAAATACGCATCGTCCGTTGTTAGTTGATTTCGCCCGGTACCCGCTCGTTCCGTTTTGCCGCCATGATCGAGGAGCAAAAACAAAACGATGTTTCCGTCAACGCGATCGCCAACGTACGCCTCCCGTCGTTTTGGAAACAATCGCCTGATTTTTGGTTTATACACGCGGAATCCGTGTTCGCGAACCACCGCTTGACCGCCGACAGTACTCGCGTGAATTTCGTCATCGGTGCTTTGGACGAAGATGGCGTCCGCACCATCGGTGATCTCCTCGGGCCAACCGCGTCGTATGATGCAATTCGCTCACGTTTGATCGACGCTTACAGTCTACCCAAGTCCGTTCGCTTCCGAGAGATCGTCAAACCCGGGGGCATGGGCGACCGTAGGCCGTCACAACTGCTCCGCGACATGCGCAGCGTCATGCCCGCCGGTATCGGCGAGGAAGCCCTGAAAGAGTTCTGGTTACAGAAGCTGCCGTCCAACGTCATGGCCATCATCGCCAGCCTCGACGCCCCTCTGGACTCCTTAGCTTCTCGCGCGGACAGAGTAATGGAAGCGTCGAGCCCCCAGTCCGTCGACGCCTTCTCCAAGGACCAAATGGCAGATTTGGCTAGTGCGGTGTCAGCGCTGTCTCAGCAAGTCCAGTCGCTGACAAAGATTGTCAACTCGTCGAAGGATGTCCCGCGGCAGCGACAACACTCATCGACGCAGTGGGCCGCACAGCAACCAACACAGGCGTGCTACTACCACGAGAAATACGGCAACGGCGCTCGCAATTGCCGCCCGCCGTGTAATTTCAAGCCAAAGGCGCAGGACCATGTTACCTCCGCGCCGGCGGAAAACTAGGCGTCACGGACAGGACTCCCGCCCTGCATGCCGTGAGTAAAAATACGCGGGTACACGTGAACGACCTCCGCTCCGGTAGGTTGTTTCTTATTGACACGGGCGCCGAGATTTCGGTCATGCCCCACGACCACAGCTCACGACAACCATCCGACGTCCGCCTCACAGCTGCCAACGGAACGCATATAAAAACCTTTGGGCCCAAGACGCTCAACCTCGACCTCGGCCTCTCACGAACGTTCACCTGGACGTTCGAGATGGCCGACGTTTCGCGCGCCATCATCGGGGCCGATTTTCTTCATTATTTCGGCCTCCTTGTCGACGTGCGGCGACATCGCCTTGTCGACCCGACCGACAAACGAACAGTCTGTGAGTTTGCGCGAGAAAAACCCGAGTGGTTGCCAGTCGTCTCCGGAGCGCTGTTCGAGTGTTGCACCCACAGCGATGTTCGACGCGTCGGTACACAGGCGCAACGGTGCTTCGTGATGTGGATGCACGAGTCGTGCTGTAGCGGCGAGAGCTTCCTTGCAAGCTTGAAACGCTTCGCGCGCTGTGTTTGTCCACGAGAGTGGGCCGTCGCGTTTCGGAACCAGAGCGGTGATGTCATAGAGCGGTGCTTGAAGTCTAGCCGCGTTCGGGATGAACCGATGGTAAAAATTCAGCGACCCGAGAAAACGCTGCAGCTCCTTTTTGGTGTTCGGCTGCGGCCACTGACGGATGGCACTGACGCTATCCGGGTTCGGGCGTAAGCCCTGCGCATCGACGACGTGTCCGAGAAACGTGAGCGTACGGGCGGCGAAAACGCACTTGGCCGGATTAATTGCAATGCCGAACTTCTCGAACCGACCGAGGACGGTGCGAACGTGTTCGACGTGCTGCTCCGCACTTGCAGACGCGATGAGGACGTCGTCGACATAGGCGAAAACGTAATCGAGCCCGGCGAGAATTGAATTCACTAACCTCTGAAACGTTTGTGCGGCGTTGCGGAGTCCAAAACACATTACCGGAAACTCGAAGAGGCCAAACGGTGTTGTGACGGCGGTCTTGTGGACGTCGCTGGCAGCGATGGGCACCTGGTGGTAGGCACGGACCAGGTCGAGTTTGGAAAAAACTGTTTTGTCTGCCAAGTTCGCCGTGAAATCGTGGAGGTACGGCAGCGGGTACCGGTCCGGAACGGTGACGTGGTTAAGCCGACGGTAGTCTCCACAGGGTCGGTATGATCCGTCTTTCTTTGGAACCAAGAGAAGCGGGCTCGCCCAGGAACTGGCCGAAGGGCGGCAGATACCCTGCTTCTGCATAAGTTCAAAATCGCGTCGTGCGATGATGAGTCGGTCCGGCGGTAATCGTCGCGGGCGGGCGAAAAGCGGCGGACCTGTCGTTTGGAGCACGTGCTCGACTCCGTGAAGAAATGTTTCCGGGACGGGCGACTCGCGTGTCACACTCGGAAACTCTCGGAGTAATTCGTCCCAATCGTGGGTGCGCGTGACGGCGAACAGCGGGGCGCTCGTGGAAACCGCGGAAGTCACTGCACAGGTGACTTATCCACGACATCGAACACGTCAGCGGCGAGAGTAACGTGGTGCCCGACGCCCTTTCACGCCTCGAGTTGGCCACTCTCGAAGACGGCCTGCCGGACCTCAATCAGTGGGCAGTCGACCAAGCGAACGACAGAGAACTCAGGGACATCATTTCCGGCGTCACAAAAACCTCACTAGACCTCGAAGCGCGCCAGACAGCGAACGGGCCCGTCTACTTCGACGTAGCGTATAACCGGACGAGACTGCTCGTCCCGCAGTGCCACCGACGCGCAGTTTTCACAACGCTTCACGGGCAGGCTCATGGCGGTCGCGCAGCCACCAGCCGAATTGTTAAGGCACGTTTCGTCTGGCCCGGTATGGATCGGGAAATACGCCGATGGGTCCGAACGTGTGAACAATGTCAGAGGGCCAAAGTTCACAAGCACACTACATCACCGCTAGCACCGTTTGCGGCCCCAGACCGCCGGTTCGGACACATACATCTCGACCTTGTAGGTCCACTGCCCACGTCCAACAACGCCAAATATCTGCTCACCTGTATCGATCGTTACACGCGCTGGCCGGAGGCGTGGCCCGTCGATAGTATGTGCGCACAAACCGTCGCCTCCACTCTCGTGTCAAACTGGATCGCTCGCTTCGGGGTCCCGGATGTCGTCACGGCAGATCAGGGACGGCAGTTCGAGTCCGAGCTTATGAGAACACTCAACACCACGTTCGGCATTCAGCACGTCCGCACGTCCCCATACCACCCGCAAGCCAACGGCTTGGTGGAACGTCTACACCGGACGCTCAAGGCGGCACTCACCGCATACGAGTCACCGCATTGGACACGACACCTGCCGATCGTTCTCCTCGCGCTGCGGAACACCGTCAAGCAGGACATCGGCGCGGCTCCGGCGGAGTTGGTTTACGGGACATCCCTCCGGCTGCCCGGTGAACTGTTTCACTCGGCGCCGCCCGAACCGACGGCGCATGACCTCGTCGCCGCGCTAAGAGATTCAATGGCCCGACTTCGACCTATACAGGGGACAGATCATGACTCGGGCAAGCGCATCTTCGTGCCCACTCAGCTCGACAACGTCAGCCACGTTTTTGTCCGGGTCGACGCACACCGCGCGCCACTTCAACCCCGTTACGAAGGGCCGTACGCCGTGCTCGAACGTCGTCCCAAGGATTTCAAGCTGCAGCTCGGCAACCGGACGTCCTGGATCTCCGTGGACCGACTTAAGCCGGCTTTCATTTTACGCGACGATCCACTCACCGACCACTCTTATGCGATGCGATCGATCAATCACCTTCCGACATCAAAAACAAACGGGTCTGTTTTTTCTTCTTTGCCGGGGGGGAGTAATGTGGCGGCGCACCACCACATAATTTCTCCCCGGTGGCGGCAGGCCCCGTGAAGACGGTTGGTCACACCGCTCAAGCGCCCACTACCATCGACAGCGTGCAACGGGACCGTCCTCCGGCCATCGACCTCTTCTCTCAACGACGCCACCGAGTATAGACGTCCGAGAACTTTCTGCGCTTTTCTGCTTACTACATTTTTTTGTTAATCAAAATAAATCTTTTTGTTATTATCTACTCTTTTTATATTAATTAAGCTCATTTATTCGCGTTAGCGCTCACGCGTCATCGTGACCGCTACAATATCATGTTTTTTGTCAAATTATTTATTTAATATCATTGATGGCATTATATTAATATCATTAATATCAGATGAATATATTAAATAATTAATAATTTTAAATTTTAAATCTAATTCAAAATTATAGGTATATCAATAAGTCGAAAATATGGGAAATGGAAAAATCAAATAGATAACTATTTCCAAAAAATAAATAAATGTAATTTTTTTTATTAGAATTTAAATATACTAGCATCTATTCAAAAGGCATCAATCTGTTATCTATATAATATGTTTTTTAACTACATACTATAATATAATTATAAATATCAGTTATAAATATCAATTGCCAGTAGTGGTAATGAGATCATGATAACGGTCAACAATAATCTTCATCAACAGTCGACAACAAAACAAATTTGTGGTACTCCTTATCTAAAAGTATTGGAAAATAATATTTATAGAGCAGCAGGCAACATAGAAATCAGAAATGATAATTCGGAAAACCTAAGACCTTTAAGATACAACAGTTAACAAGAAACGACGGTAATATCCAATTGGCACCATACAATTTATTATTTAAAAAATATATATACATATATATTAATGTCATAATAACAGTATTTATAGTCAATAGATTCATTTAGATAGCCTGCGATATAGGCTGGGGTATGTAGGGGTCGTTCCGTTGTCAATAGTCAACGAAAACCAACTAAAACTAAATCTTATTTAAAACGCTTAGAAACAAAAAAACCAGTACAGTGGGGTCGGGGCATAGTGGGGACGGAGCATAGTTGGGTCGGGGCGTAGTGGTGACGGGGAGGTCTCAGGTTTACAGGAATTTTCTAAATCTGAAAGTGATAAAATCACTTTTAAAAAAACGCTTCGATGCAAATCGGTAGTTAGTATTTTCAAGCCAGTACAGTCCAAACCAAGCGCAGTATAAACCAGCAAAGTTAGAAAGTTTTAAATGAAGGTTCTGTATTTACAAATGAGCATCAAAGCGTTTATTTGAAAGCGATTATATTCAATTTTATCACTTTTATTTATAATAATTCTTGTAGACCTGTGACCTCTCCGTTTCCTCATTGCTTTGATTACATTATGCCTATACTCTACTGTACTAGTCCTCTCGGATAAAATCTCTTTCAAAGTACCAACTAGATGAAATTTGCGATTTATAGAGTTGCTACTGGAAGGAATTGGTCCAGTATTAAAAAAGTTACAGTGTATACAGATAAAAAAAAAACACATCAGAGTAAAACCAATACCTTCTCGCTTTGCATCGAAGCTAAAAAACTACACTAAAATATGTTTTTAAAAAATTTAAGGGACTGTAGTAATTTTCGTTCACGTTCCTCAAAAAAAAGAATTCGTTCATTTTCCTCGTTCCTTTATTTTTAAAGGAAGCAGTTCCAAGCTTCGTTCCTATAAAAAGAACTCGTTTCAGGAATCCGTGTCTTTTGGAACGAATTCCTTCTCAGCACTGCAAACTTCTACACGAAAGACCTTATTACCTATTCAAACAAATTTCTGTTCATGTTCATTTAAATGATCTGCTGGGTCGTATTATGGAAAAACTCGATTTATCTGAACATTTGATAAATACGTTTCATATCATTACATAGTTTACATGATAGTTGAATGTTCACAAATGTATTATAATTGGAATATTTATATAATTACTATTTCCTAATTTATGTATTATTTGTACATATATATAAAGGTCCTTAAATGTCCTTAAACTTTTTGTTAGTTAAAGGACGTCCCTAAATTGTCTCTAAAAACTTAAAATGGTCTCATGTAAACTACTACCCGAATGACCTTTTCACCAAACA